ACGTCCCGCTAGTGTCTCCCCCCCGTGTGTTTTAGGAGTGTTTTTGATTCTCCCCCCAACCATTCCCATCTCCACGCGTCTGTGCGGGGACGTTCGGGGGGTTGAAGTCCACACATCTTAAAGTTCCCAAGGTTGAGAAACACTGACGTAGTTAAACACTGAAGAAAACAGTGGTATAAAGTCTCTGTGAGCTTGATGGCTACATGGGAATTTGAACTTTCCAATTTAAGTCCAGTGCTCTAGACCAGTGTCCCTCAATGCCAGCAACTTTAAGATGGGTGGACTTCTACTCTCAGATTCCCTTTCCCAGCTGGAAGTTGAAGTCCACCCACCTTAACGATGCTGAGGTTGAGAAACTGGTCTAGATCAACCAGTACCCTCCTAATCGAAGGCTGCTGAACCTTGGAATCCAATGGCTTTGGGGCATAAGAATGAAGAATATCCTTGTTGAATCCAACCAAGACCCGTCTTAGACCAGCTTTTTGTTTCTCGCGTGGCTAACCAGACATCTTTCGCTGCTCACAATTAGGAGATGTAGATATGTCCTTTCCCCACTACTTTCACCTGCAACTGGTATTTGGAGGTGTGCTGCTTTTGACCTAGAAGTAATATGGCATTTCAGGACACATAACCCTTGATGGTCCTGCCCTCTGTGAATTTATCTAATCCAATTTTTATACATGCTTGCTTGATAGGGATGAACATCTTTCGCCAGATGAAATTATTTAAGAATCCTGCCTATACACCAGAATGTGAAAGGGCCCCAAGCATGGATCCCACTATCTTTCAATTGTTTTGCATTTAACAATGCTTAGATATCCATGGAACTCCAAAAGTGCCTTATTGTAAGACGTTGTCATGGCTGAGGAAACCAAGGCCAAAGCCTCCTTTGTTTCAGAATACAGATATTTTAAAAACCTACAAAGGGATTAGAACTGTAATCATTTTAGCAAAGTAGTTCAAATAAGAGGCTTTTTAAAAACACCTTAAAAGAGCCTTGAGAGCTGTTAATTATACAAGCACAAAACCCCCAGACAAATAGCAGGCTCTACTAATTGTGGAGCGAAAGGAAGGAAAAAGGGACAGCACTGTGAAACAAAATAAAACAAAACTTTCCAGTGTGACACTAACTTCTCTCAGTGAAGTTAGTTAGATGGCTAAGAGGAAGAGAGTCTTCTCAGTGGTGGGCCCCATTTGTGGGATGTTCTCCCTAAAGAAGTCTGATTGGTGCCTTCCTGTTTTCCCAGGCAAGTTTGAAATGTTAATTGTAAGTGCCTGCTTAAAACTTCATGTTTTTCATATATTTTGTATTATCATATTCTGTGATGGAATGGTGTTATGAAGGCCATGCTCAGGGAGATAAGCGTTTCCTTAGCCCCCAACAGGAACATGGGAAGTTTAAGAAGATGAGACTGGCACCTCCCTAAGGAATGCACGGTGTTGTGGCTTGCTGGCTTGGGAACTGAGGTTCAGTCCGGAGAGATTTTTTTCTTGAGGTGGAAGCTAATAAAATCAACAAAAATGAAATTGCACTGTCTCACGGAGTTCTTTGGGCTGAACCTGACATTAATCTCTCCAGACTGAACCTCAGTTCCCAAGCCAGCAAGCCACAACACCGTGCATTCCTTAGGGAGGTGCCAGTCTCATCTTCTTAAACTTCCCATGTTCCTGTTGGGGGCTAAGGAAACGCTTATCTCCCTGAGCGTGGCCTTCATAACACCATTCCATCACATATTCTTTCCTATAATGCATGCTTTAGTGTACTTTGAGAATCCATTTTATTGTTTTGTTCTTTGTAATTAAAAAAAGTTCGAAACCATTCAGAAGATATTAGATGGATTACAAATAAAATACACAAGTAAGTAAAGATTATAAAATCTCTGGCCTATTGCACACCGACATAAAATCCATTTGGGCATTCTCATGGAGCCAACAAACCACCGATTAATTAAATCCTTAAAGATATGTGGGTGTGGAATGTTCCCAGAATAGAATATGGATAACTCTAGACATTCCAGAAAAGGGTCACATTTTTCCAAAAATTTATTGCCAAGAACAGGAAGTGTTCTATGTTTTTTAGACATGGTCTGGCCCCAAATGATCCAGAATGGAAAGTTCTGTACAACCCTACTTTGAAGAGTGACCATAAATGACTAAGGGACTAAATTCCACTTGATAGGTCCTAGGTTCAGCAGATCTCTTGAGATACTCTTTCCATACCTTTCACCTTTACATTATGGGATGATAGCAATTTACTTGCATTTACTTCCTTTCACACAAAGGCGAATGGGCCATCTGTAGAAATTATGTACCTACGATTCATAATTCAAAGCCTCTCAAGATCTCCTAATCAAGAATTTCACTTTACGTGCAGAGAATGGAATACGGGAAATATGGCCAAGTCCATAGACTACCCCAATCTCACTATAAAGTACAACGTCAAAGCATAGTGTAACAGAAAAAATACATTAACAGAAACAGAATTCCCACCAATAATACACTCCCCTGTCAATCTCTCTTACTTCTCCATATTGTGCAGCACTGAGAATTATATATAAACTGGCTAACAAATAAACCTGATTATGAATGTAATGAGTTCAGGTGTAGAGTGTATGCTTTACGTTCAAAAGGTCTTGTGATCAGTTTGACAACTCAAAGTTAAAAAAAAAAGAAAAGCCATGTAGCAGGATGTGAAAGAACTCTCTAAAACCATGGATGCTGCCAGTTAGAGAAGACAAAGGATTTCCAACCTTCCTGGACACATCTGGAATATTGAGAACGTATTGTAGGAACCCTTATCAAATGGACGTTTAACAGTTGAGTCAAAGGTCAAAAAAAGCTGCCATGGAATGTAATCAATTACGAAGTATCAACATGCCAGAATACTATTTGCCATCGTGTTCAGATTGTCCTTCAGCAGGAAGTTTCTTCTATCCCTGCTCACCTTTGTCAGTTTTGCAGGAAAGTGGACACACTTTCAAATAAAGCACTAGCTGGCATTCATCCATCATTTTTATTTGCTAAAAAAGCAGATGGGATTCAAAGTGGGAGTCAGAGCATCCTTATAAATTAGAAAGATGCATATCCTGGCCTTTCTTTCAAGTCTAGGGTAGGAAGCCCAGTGGGCATCTAGCAAGTTCTTTGCAAGGAGACTGGTATCCTGGGCCACCCTGCAGTGGATTCCAGAAGTAGGCAGGGCTTGTTCTAGATGGATCAAGTGTCTGAACCAGCATAAGTCAGGTTACTGTATTTGTAACTAGAATGAAAAGTAAATTTCCTATAAAGAGAAGTTGTTACTGGAGCACAGGTTTTCATGCAGAAAATCTGAGATTTAGTCCCAAATATACGCAAATGACAATGGTTGTTGCATTGTGTCACTTAGACAGTTTTGAAAGCTCCTCAGAATTATGGAGGAGAAGGCTATGAATGGCTGAGGGAAGAGAAATGCATGTAGTCCAAACATTCAAGTGGAGACCAGATAGCATTCTTCCAGTACATGATGGGCTATCACAGGAAGAGGGTGCCTGAGAATAGGACAGAACTAATGGCTTTACAGAAGGAGATCCAAACTCAGGATAAGGAGGAATTTCCTGACTATGAAAGCTGTTAAGCCGTGGAACAGCCTGCCTTCTGGAATTGTGGGT